TTGGTAAACTTGTTTTATGAAACAGGCCTTGAGGCATTAAAAGTGATCATATTTTTTCCATTGCATCGTATTGTCTCGAATCGCATTGTGTTGAATCGAATCGAAATCGGATCTCACTGCATCGTAATTGGGGTGAATCGTATCGCATCGCATCAGTATCTGCTTCATATGTATCTTTAATGTATCGTAAAAAACATCTTACGGTCTCCAAACCTCTGAATAATGGTATTAGTCTCAACCCAATATATTTGATCACAAAATTAGAAAACACATCAAAATAGCAAGCTCAAATCAAATTTTCTGTCTAAAGTGCAACTTTAAAGTAAAGGACAATAAAGCAAAACAATGATCTTGGTGTCGCTATAGTGCCATGCTCACCTGAGACTAGGTAAGTATGTAGGCTGTAAAATTGAGCTTGTAGAAAAAGAGAAGAAAGACAGCATTGGAGAATGGAGAATTCGGAAACACAAGATGAAATGGTGAACTTTGTGAAAGTACTGTTCAACGAAAATAGATGGAAGCAGCAGCGCTAGATAGAAACTGACAGTCTGCCTGCCAAACACTTCCAAGATAAGGCAGAAAAAGCAGAGCGAGACGGAAGGCGGTGCATTGTATGCAGTTTTATGCTAAACACATGTGGATGAGCTAGAGAGTTATCTGAGACTGCCGTGCCTTGAGCTAGAAACTGAAAGATGAGTGTGTGGAGATGTGTGTGCATGCGTGCAGAGCACCAAATCTCTCAAAAACAGGTTCAGGTTATATTTCACTCTGAAAAATCTAAACTTTTGGGAATTTGTTTTACTCATATAATGTTCACTATCATTCAAAAGTTTGGGGTCTGCAAGTTTTTTATTTATTTAATTTTATTTAAAGAAATTAGTTATTTCATTCAGCAATTTATCAAAAGTGACAGCAATGGCGTTTGTAATGTTACAAAAGATTTCTATTTCAGATATATGCTGTTCTTTTGAACTTTCTATTCCAAGAATCTGGGGGGAAAAAAGTATCTGGTTTCAACAAAAAAAAATTAAGCAGCACAACTGTTTTTAACATCAATTATAATAAGAAATGTGTCTTGAGTATCAAATCAGCATATTAGGGGGGAAAAAAGTATCTGGTTTCAACAAAAAAAAATTAAGCAGCACAACTGTTTTTAACATCAATTATAATAAGAAATGTGTCTTGAGCAGCAAATCAGCATATTAGAATGATTTCTGAAGGATCATGTGACACTGAAGACTGGAGTATTGATGGTGAAAATTCAGCTTTGCATCACAGGAATAAATTATATTTTAACATATATTCAAATAGAAAACTTATTTTAAATTTAAATATTTTTTACTGTATTTTTGATCAAAGAGCCTTCTTTCAAAAACATTAAAGAAATCATATTGACCCCAAACCTTTGTGAAAAATCTCCTTTAAATGTATTGCACACACACACACACACACACACACACAAACTATCATATAATTGTATTATATAATCATATAAATGTATTACTACATAAAACGTCATATTACCATATTTTTGCTATGATACAGAACAACATTTTTTGAGGTCAGCAGTTTCTTTAAAGTGCCCCTATTATGCCTTTTCCATTCCGTCATGGCAATGGGTGTTTCGTTTCCGACACGCGCTGTACGAGAAATTTTTTGAGAAAACTGTGTTTTTTAACCTTGCATGCATGTAAACCTGTTTTAGGAGACTCATAAAACAATATTAGCAACCTAAAAAATGGCATAATAGGGGCACTTTAAATTGTATTGTTCTCTGTGGAACTGAAGCTCAAACTCATTTCTCTGTCTTATGTCTCAACTCCTCAGGGAAGATGTGGCGCAGACGGACGGTGGTTGAGGCGTCTCAGGGGGATGGCAGGCCGTGTCCGTCTCAGATGGAGCAGTGGAAGCCATGTCCTGTGCGACCCTGTTACAGATGGCAGTACGGCCCGTGGTCCGAGTGTCGTGTTGAGGTCTTTTTCAATTCTTATAGATCAAACGGCTGAATGTAAATTCACAGATCAGAGTTCATTAAATTTGAACTTAAGCACTGCATTCACATTAAGAAAAAAAAATCAAAGTTTGGTGAACTCGGACTTGCAAAGGTTCTAGGTCAAGTCTATATTTCATAATTCATGTTTTTGTGCATTTTTCTCACAGAAAATCTTTGGAAAAACAAATAGTCAATGTCAAACTATCCACACTAAGGTTCACAATACTACCACATTCAAATGTTTGGGGTCGGTAAGATTTTTTAACAAAAATTCTGCTCACCAAGCCTGCATAAAATACAGTAATATTGTAAAATATTATTACAATTTAAAATAAATGTTTTCTATTTGAATATATTTTAAAATGTAATTTATTCCTGTGATCAAAGCTGAATTTTCAGCATCATTACTCCAGTCTTCAGTGTCACATGATCCTTCAGAAATCATTCTAATATGCTAATTTGCTGCTCAAGAAACATTTCATATTATCAATGTTAAAAACAGTTGTGCTGTTTAATATTTTTGTGGAAATTATGCATTTTTTTAGGATTCTTTGATGAATATAAGGTTCAACATTTTTCTTCTGCTGATCTCTGTTGTGACTCATGAAATTCAAACATGTTTATTGAACTGTGTTGTAAAATGCTAAACACCTCAGTCGCCCAACGGCACACGCTCTGAATGCGTTAACGACCCGCGCTGGAACTCCTCGCTCTTCCAACACCTTGGTTTCCAATCTCGCTGTCAACCTCGTCTTCTCTTCTATTATTCTCTCTGATCCTCCTCCGTTTCAATCCTGCTTTTGATCTTTGGATTTAGGAAGTGTTTATGATTGCTCGGCGCTCACATCTGAACCTGTGTGTGTGTGTGTGTGTGTGTTGTAGGAGGTGGTGTGCGGGGTGGGACTGCGTTTCCGGAACCTGTCGTGCTTTGTATCAGACGGCTCCGGCGATGGGAAGAGCAGCATTGCAGAGGAAGAGCTCTGTGCTGGATTGGAGCAGGCCGTCGACGGAGATAAAAATATTATTCTGGAGGAGACCTGCACTTTACCCTGCCCTGGTAACAGACTAAAATCACACAGGATACTTGATCTGTGAGGCCATCATTGCATGCAAACTTATTGGGGAAAAGCTATGCATAGATAGATAGATAGATAGATAGATATCTGTAACTAGCATAGCATCTGTCTGAAACATGCTAGCAATGTGATGATACCAGCAACTTCATAGCAACACTCTAGCAACCATCCAAACCAACCTAGCAACCACACCAAGTACCCTAGCAACCTATCTATCTATCTATCTATCTGTCTGTCTGGCTGTCTATATATAATTTATCATCTGTCTATCTATCTACAGGTATCTATCCATCCATCCATCCCTCTCTCTCTCTCTCTCTCTCTGTTTTTTCTAATAGACTGTATTGCCTTCAAAACAGTCAAACTGTAATATTTAAAGCTACTTCAAACCGACAACTTTCAAACTTTCTGGTCTGGCTTTCTCAAGCCCACTTCACTTTGTCTTGACAAACTTTTTTTATCTAGTTCAACTTAATTTCTTATAAATATTTACTTATACAGCAATATTGCTGCTTGTCGCTGCTTTCTATTCAGTTTTGCAATTACAGTTTTGTGTGTTTTTTGGTTTTATTTAATGTAATATACATTTTTAATTTCAGGTGTAATGCTGTCACCCTGTTTGAGATCTGTTTTTGTGCTACATGTGTTTTCAAATATATAATTTAATAACTGTGTAATCTAAAATACATAATCTAAAAAATATTACACCCTTAAATAGCATTTTTAATGTACTTCTCTGCTTTTTAAATATGTTATAATGTAGCTAACTTTCCTACAAGGGCAGACTGACTACATTTGAACTATAAAAAAAAGTTGTTCCTGTAAATGGTAGCAGACTACCATTTACAGGAACCTCCTCTTCTGCTGTTATCAGTGTTGTGAATGAAATGGAAAGCTACTTCAGATGACTCTGTTGATCTGTTCAGGTGACTGTTACCTGATGGAGTGGTCCGACTGGAGCCCGTGTCAAAGTGTGTGTGTGAAGGGTCAGCGTTTGGACTTCACTCCAGTGCAGGTCCGTTCACGTGCCGTCATCGCACAGGAACCGGAGAACATCGCTCAGTGCCCCGATCAGGAGTGGCAGTCCTGGCCCTGCAGCAGTGAGAAACATGCTCCTCCTCTCTCATTTGCATAAAGACACTGCTTTACTCTGATGTTATTCAACATGAATCATTTTAAGAATTTAACATTTAATATTTAACACATATCGTTTGTTTTAAAATGGCATCACCTTAGTGAAAAGAAGTACACTTGAGCATACATATAAAAAGAGTAATTATTATGGAAATAATATACTTTGTGATGTAATCTTTCAGGACACTCTATTGCATGTTAATTGTAATTATATGTATTATAGTTTACATTTATATTAAATGCAATTATTTGAACTTAAGATGTTTTTGACCCACTTAAGTAGGATATAAGTACAACTTTATATGTACAGTAATTGCATAATTACTTGAAGCATTTATGCTGAACTAAAATATACTTTGTCATTTCTACGGAAATGTGTATGTCATGTGTTTAAATGTGTATAATTACAAGTAGTTGCAATTTAGTTCATTGAAAATATGTTAACTTTTAAATGTAATATCAAACAACAAACTACAGTTAAAATTATAATCAAGTACTTTACACGTGCTTTAGTATGTTAGTCAACAAATCAAAATAAGTATACTACTTTAAAGCACAACAAAACAATTAAAACAAAAGGATTTTTAAAAAAAGCTTTAAAATGAAACTTTTAATGACATTGTTACTGTGCATAAATGTGTTGAGAAACATGAAAGTGTACTCTCCGCAAGTGCACTTAAAAGTGCCTTTTATTGCATTAATATTATATTATCTGCAAGTACAGTTTTTAAAAATGTGCTGTTCAGATTTAAAGTACACTACAAGTGCACATTCAATACAATTAAGCATATTTCTTTTTCACAAAAGCATGTATATATTTATGTGCATGTATTTAAGAATTTTACATGAAATGCAGTTGGATGTCTACGGCCTGATTTGTTACAAACGCATTCTCTTTTAAAGGCATGGTGCACCCAAAAATGAAATTTGTGTCATCATTTATTCACCCTCCACTTGTTCCAAACCCGTATGAGTTTCTTTCTTCTGTTGAACACAAAAGAAGATATTTTGAAGAATGTAGCCATAGACTTTCATATTATTATTTTTTTTCCATACTGTGGAAGTCAATGGCTATCGTCAACCATGCACTTGGTTCACATTTTGGACCATGTTAATAGTTTTGGTACTTTTAAATAAGATTGTATGAAAACACCTTTATCAGGTCTCTCTACACCTGTGACGTGTACGGCTGCAGAATGTACACAAGTCATCAGGGCAGTTATTTGAGATTTGACTTACTAGTCATATGGTGCGTAAAATATGTAAAACTTGTAAATATTTATTCTGTTGATTTCCATCTAGTTGGTGAGTGTTATGAGTACCAGTGGATGGGCAGTCCTCAGCTGATCTGGTGTCAGCGCTCAGATGGAATAAACGTCACAGGTGCTATACTACACCGCTTCACATCTGTTTCTTTAAGTCACATGAATGAGCAGCTGACGAGGAATTACAAATACCAATACATGGTATATGTATGTACATACAGAATAAAGCAATGAGTACATCTTAGGTCCTATCAGCCTTTTTTGGTAATTTTGTTTGCCACTTTTAAATGCCTTTTTGCCTTCACTAGGTCATGTTTAATGGTCCTGCGGTGTGATTTTATGTAGCTTCTGCATAAATGAGCTCATGAAAGCTGATTGCATAATAATTATAAATGAATTAGCAAAGTGCTCTTTTAAATACAGTGGTTTTAGATGGAGTATATTATCATGACACACTACAGAACATGTAGGAGACTCTGATACCAGCATCTATGCAGTATATACTGTAATATGTATATTGTGCAAAAGATGCCCATCGTGTGAAACTACTAGCACATATGCCCATTTCTAATTGACTGATTACTTTCTGCCGAATGGAGTTGTTGTCAAAAGCTTGAAAATGATCTGTGCCCTGTTATTTCTTCCAGGTGGATGCCATCCAGTGCTCCTGCCAGGGACGGACCAGTCATGCGATCCACCTTGTGACAAACCACAGACATTCTGCTCAGAGGTAAGACACAAGAGGACTGTGGGATTACGGTAATTCTGAGCCTGGGTGTCTGTAACTGCAGACAGTTGCTCCAGCTGCAATTATCATAATGAATGCAACAGAAAATCATGGTCATAAGCTGTGCTTTTGTTTTTATTTTTGGATACAGTTGATCTATATTTTTGAAGCATACTCAATGAACTTTTTATATGCTTGCTAGACTCAGACTTAGAATTATTGCATACAAAATCTTGGCTGCTCAAATGATGTAATGCTTTTGAATTGTGCATGCTTTATAGAATAATTTTACTCACAATCCCTTGCACAAAGGAAGAAGAGGAGTTTGTGGATGTTTTCTTTCCACTAGGGATGGGGGATAACATTTATTTCTCTTGTAAATAGAGTACTGAAGGGATCATGTATTTTTGTAGGCCAATGCGGAAGTTAACGTCATCCTGGTTCCCTCGGCAAAAACTCAACATGTTTTTTCCATTGGCTTTTGGATTACTGCAGAAAATAAGTTCTGTGACCAACAAAAGCTTATGATTCTTACACATTTTGTTCATCAAGATGCAATCACCAGAAGTAAAAAGCTATAAATGAACTATACCACGGTCACATGACTTTAACAGCACCATCACTAAGCTTCTGACAACTCTTGGAAAGTTGGGAGAGTTAGAATATATTGCAAGAGCATGATTATAAACCCCACAAGGTTGTAAAAGCAGACTAGTGAGTAGATGAGTTTACCTGTTTGGCATGATGGCGTTTAATGACTCCAACAACCTCTGTAATAATAATAATAATAATTCATTACATTTATATAGCGCTTTTCTAGGCACTCAAAGCGCTTTACATTGTCAGGGGGTATCTCCTCATCCACCACCAGTGTGCAGCATCCACCTGGATGATGCGACGGCATCAATTATTGCAAGATATGTAGTCCCATTTGGCCACTTATTAGCAACCACCTTATTTAAAACACGTAAAATCACAAGTGGGGCATTACTGATGTATTTCATGTCATCTTAAACGTGTTAACCACAAACACTTATTTCAGGCATTTAATCAAAAACCATTTCAAAAAACCCATTGACTTTGAGACGATGGAACTGGGAGTGCAAAAATGTCTTGAGTTTAGGACTCTATTGGGTGTGAATTGGGTCACAAGCCTTGAGAGGAAGCAGAAAGCATGATCTTATTTGTGTGTCTTTGCTGCCCCCTGCAGGAGGGCGTATGTATGTGTGAGGAGGGCTATACCGAGGTGCTGACGGCCAAGGGGATGCTGGAGCAGTGTACACCCATCCCTGTGCTCGAAATCCCCACTGCAGGGGACAAGAAATCTGATGTGAAGACCAGCCGGGCCATCAACCCCACCCTGCCCACCACGGTACAGCCTGGCCGTGTCGGACGCACCTGGTACCTGCAACCCTTTGGACCAGGTAAATGTTTCATTTCCATTTCTTTAGTCCAGTATCTCTTAAACATATTTTAATAGTGCTGGTTTAAGTTCTCTTAGGAAATTATATTACTCAGCAAACACTTTTTAAGTAATCTTTATCGGTCAACAATGAATCCATTTTTACGGAAGCTTGTTTTTGACATGGGAATTAAAAATGACTCTTTTTTTTTATATATCTTGCAATTCTGGCTTCTTCTTTTTTTCCTCTGAATTCTGATTTTACATGTTGTAATAATTTGGTAACACTTTAGAATAGGGGTCCAGAATAATGCATTAGTTAAGCATTAATTAATGGTTAACTTGTTCATAATTAAGCATTAGTTGAGCACAAACACACTAGTAATTAATGATTAACTTACATTTAGGGAGCTCAGATTATGCATTAGTTAAGCATAAATAAAGTTAATCATTAATTAAGTGTGTGGTCATGCTTATCTAATGCATTATTGTGAACAAGTTAATCATTAACTACTACTTTATTTATGCTTAACTAATGCATAATCTGAGCTCCCTAAATGTAAGTTAATCATTAATTACTAGTGTGTTTGTGCTCAACTAATGCTTAATTGTGAACAAGTTAACCATTAATTAATGCTTAACTAATGCATTATTCTGGACCCCTATTCTAAAGTGTTACCAATAATTTTTCCACCACAAAAAAAAAGACCAGAATTGTGTGATATTTAATTCTGAGAAAAAAATTATTATAAGATGTCAATTCAGAATTCAGAGAAAAAAAATCTGAAATGCAAGATGTAAAATGAGAATTCTAAAGCAAAATGTTAGAATTGCAAGATGTAAACTCCCAATTACAATTTTATAACTTGCCATTGTGAGATATAAACTCGAATTTCTGAGAAAAAGTAAGCATTGTGAGATATTTCCGTGGTAGGGAAAAAAAGGAACTGTGAGATGTAAACTCAAAATTGCTAGTTTAGAACTTGCAATTGCAAGATATAAACTTGCAATTCGAAGAAAAAAAGTCACAATTGTGAGATATAAACTGTGAATTCTAAATAAAAAAGTACGAATTGCGAAATATAAACTCACAATTACTAGTTTAGAACTTGTGATTGTGAGATATAAACTCTTTGCAAGGAAAAAATAGAATTGTGAGATAAAAAGATGAAATTACCATTTTTATTTATTTTTTTTTTTTTTTATTGGCTCTTTTATAGTATTTCAACATTATACAGTTTTGCATTTTGCTTCAGTTTAATGGCCTGTGCTAAAAAATCTCTTGCCTCTTTAGATGGAAAGCTGAAGACATGGGTGTATGGCGTGGCGGCAGGTGTCTTTGTCCTCCTGGTATTTATAGTGTCGATGATTTACCTCGCATGGTAAGAAAGACAACCCTTTCCGTTCGCTTCATCACTCGTTTTATTTTCCCATTCACTCCATGCATTCGTTTGGTTCTGTTTTTCTTTAACTCGCACCCCACCCTCATCCATGCCTCCCTCGCCGTCATGAGCAGCGGTTACTGTGCCATCCGGCGGTCGCTCGGGACGCCAGATTCTGCCAACGGTATGATGGTATGGATGGGCCAAGACGCCCATGAGCTGACATACACCTGCCCTGAGTGCCAGCAGCCAAGTCAAGAGTCAAGAGCCAGTTAAAGGCTGGAGAAACAGGCTCCTGATGTCCTGACATCTCAGCCCCCTCTGCCTAGTGCCTCCACCTCAGTCTGTGCCTTACGATCTGATGCTAAACGCATCAAGATGCCCGGGTAGGCTGTTTATTTATGGTTTACTGGTTTAGAAAAAGATTTTTTAAAAATTGCTCTGTTGCAAAACCTAGTTGGCTGTTTTGGTTCCTACTGCCTGCATAGTGTCTTTTAAACATGGTTATTATCATAAAACTAAAACCATTTTTTTAAATTAATTACACAAAATTAGTGTTAATTTCTATGGAAACAATATTTGTTTTTTCCATAAGACAACACCATTAAACACTGTGACGATGTCAAATGCAATATCTTGGACACGACTAAAATGTAGTTTAAAAACTAAAAACTCTCTATATCCATATACTGTATATAAAAAATAGAGATAGAACAAATATAAAAGAAATACAGACCTCCACAAATGTTCATACTTGAGGTTGCCAGATGTCAAGTTTAAATCCCCCTATTAGAGCTTTTCTCTTAAAATCCAAACATATATCTCAACTATATTGTTAGCGACCGTGGTTGCTGAATTGTCTTTTTGTTCTTTTTGTTGTTGTTGTTGTTGTTGTTGTTGTTGTTGTTGTTGTTGTTTTAATAGAAAAAAACATGACTTTAATTATTGGAATTAATATTAGGAATTTTGCTATTTTAGCTTTCATAATGTAAAGAGTGTGTTAATTTGTGATAACTGAATAAGTCAGGAAACTATCAAACGAACATTATCGGTTTGTTTAACCATTTTGCAGCATGGCTAAAATATGACACAGAGCTAGGACTAAGACTAAATATATAAAAAATAAAAAAAAACTGCCAAAAATTTGTATATATACATATATGTATATATGCATATTCAAAACACATACACATGCACAGACACAACAAAATTACAAAAAAAAACTTTAATATTAAAATATAAAAATAAAATCTAAATTAAAATAAAATGGTAAATAATAGTATAAAAAGTAAATAGTAAATTAATTGTAAATAGTACTTTGTAAGCAGTATATAATATATGTTATATCAGTGATAGTCCACTTTTTAATTCTATTAAACTATTTTTATCAATATTTAAAATCAGCATTCCTCTTACTTTGTCAGGTTTTTTTCACTGATATGCCGTAATGCTTTTTGGATAGTTTTCTCTTTGATGGGTACATGTGATTTTGCCTTAGAATTAGGTATTTCAATAGGCAGCATAATCATGTTTTCTACGTTTTGGAACAGACTTTGCATCTATTATACCTGAAAATGTTGCCTATGGGGGCAACTTGCTAGGTCTTGTAGCAGCAACTTTTTTTATGGTCATATGTTGCAATAATGCTGAAAACAAATCAGGTCAATGTGGTCTTTAATGAAGTCCAACTGCTTTACACCTCATTTTGCTTGATTATATTATATTTGCACCGATTATATTTCATCATTCATGACTGAACTATTCCTGATCATCATGATTTTTCATCATCTTGTTTTTTATACACATTTCATTTTTGTATCATATACCATAATATGCATATGCATATATAATATATACTGTGTTTACGTAATATAAAAAGTGTTTCACTTAAGATAGCATATACACACAGTCTGTGTCCACACTGCAAGGTTTTGAGAGTGACAGCCGCATCATTCTTTTGTCCTCAGCAAAAAGCCAAAGAAACCTCAGCGAAGACAAAACAATAATCGACTGAAACCCCTGACCCTGGCATATGACGGAGATGTGGACATGTAGCCTTTCTCGGAAAACTAACGTCATGAAAGTATCATCAGCAAATGGTTGAATCTCATGAAAACATGGGTCACATTATACCCCAAATTCTAATGAAAAAAAAAAGCATAAAAGAAACAAAGTCTATTTTAGCACCTTTGTACATCATGATATTTTGAAAATGACATTATTTCTTTATTAATGAAAATTAAGCACTTTCTTCCTAAATTCTTTTTTTTTTTAACTGCCATGCATCTGAACAATTTACTTTCAGTGTTTTTGTAATTCTCAGTGTTGTCAATGGTGATTCTCTTTTTTTATTTAAATAAGAATAAACTAAATGCAGTATAACAAATATTATGATTTATTAATTCTTAATTAGTGAAATATAGTAAAATATAAGAGTTATTACTCTTACAGTAGTAAGAGTTTGGGGTAGATGTGCTTAATTCTCATAAAAATATCACAATGCAAATAGTCTTTAGGCATGAAAAAATATAATTTCTTATTTTTTTTACCGTTTGTATTTGGGGTGAAGTATGACCCAGAAATGTTCTTGAGGTTCACCCAAATACTCCTCCAAATGGGAAATGCCTAACCATCTCAAATACTAGACCCTAACTGCTTTAATCCAACCTAGAAGAAGAAGAAACATCCAAGAGCCGCAAACGAAAACCTTCATACTTCATACTGTTTTTACTTCATGTTCTTGTTCTGGAAGAGCCTTTACACACATCTCCAAACGTTGTGAGATCATGCCTTTGTTTATATTCAGTTCCTTACAAGTATTTGTCAATTATGCAACTGCGGTCAAGCTAGTGGTCTTCTATACGACGGGTCAGGACCTTATCAGAACAACTTTCTTCCGACTTGTGCTTCCCAGCTGAGAGGATTCATATTTTTGGAGGGAGTTATTGAACAGACAATGCCAAAACACACAGTAGAAAACACGTAAGGAAACTTGTGAACTTCAGATATCATGGACAACATTTGCTCACAGAAGATGCAGCCTTTCTATGGAAGGTGAAAACAAGACAAATCATGTTCTCCTGGAAGTCCCACTCTGATTCCAGGTATTATTTTGCACTATATTAGTGCAGCAAGGAAAGCATTCGCCATTGAACAATGTCTCTAAACCGACGATTCTTCAAGGCAACCCAATATGAATCTGGAGCACATCAATAAAAGTGTAAAAATCAATCTCAGAGTGGGACTCTTTAAAGACCTCACGTCCTTTTGTTTTCACTCATTTGTGCATTGTATAGTTTCTATGATGTGTCTTTTGACTGACTTTAAATATGTATTTTTTGTTATAGTTTTCCATTCAGACATTTTTTATATTAAATGGTCGCTATACAGTTGTTGAGAAAAAGTGGTTGTGACAGTATTATGACTTTTGATTGGGGATTTATGCCCCATTTTCAATGTCTGGTATCTAATTACACGAATGATGTACGTGTCAAGACAGTGGGTCTCATGGGAAGACCGATAGTTTTTGCCTTATTATTGATAAAAAAAATAAAATACTGAAGTATTGTTGCCAATTCTCACAGGACAGTGGACATGCAAAATACAGTAGCCCTACAAAGTATCTGGACACGGAAGATAAACTTTAAAGGGGACATTGGATGAAATTTTCACTTTATTTTTTTGCATTTAGTTAGTTTTCTGGCATGTCTGCCAGCTCAGAAAAGCTGAAAAGAAAACACGCAGCCAGTTTGTATGACATGTCCAGTGTAGTCCTATTCCCGAACGGATGAGTCTTGTGAACTGATACTTTATACTGAATCAGAAACATAAAATGTGACCAGTATAGTCAGATTCCCGAGTGACTGATTCTTATGAACCAGTTATTTTTAGTGAATCAAAAACATACAACTTGTCCTTTGTTTTCCATTTCTCGAACGAATGACTCTTGTGAACCAATGCTTTATACTGAATCAAAAACCTATTATGCAACCAGTGTAGTCCGATTCCAGAGTCACTGACTCTTACGAACTGGTTCTTTCTAGTAAGTCAAAAACATATAAAGTGTCCAATGTAGTCAGATTCACGAACAAATGATTCTTATGAACCTATGTGTGACTATTATGAGTGTGTGTGTGTGTGTGTGTATTATAAACCAATATATATTATAATATATAGGCCAATTATTACATTGCATTTATGCTGCTTCTAAAAGGACTGTGAAAACTCATCAAAAATGCAAAACAGATTAGGTCATAAATTTTTTTTTGAAATCATGTAATTTTGAAACAAAGTGAATTTCACTCCGTTTGGTATTGTGTTATCTAATGCAAAGACATGAAGTGCGGCTGAAGTGTGCAAATACTTTCTGGGGTCATTGTACACCTGTAGCACTTTTGTTGGATATATATATATATATATATTACTGTATAGTATTATGACATCATAAATATAAGCTGTCTCATGCACTTGCAACAAACGTACAAAGCCATCACACAGTATGATTTTTGACGTTTTATTATTCAGCAGATTAAATAGTATTCCATTTTTATATCCTTAATTTATTTTCAAATGGTTATACATTACCCTTCTTCCCCTAAAAAATTACAAAATGCAATGAAAAATAAAATACAATGTGTATGTATTCATGAAATTTGATTTGATTTGAATTTAACCTGTTATATATATTTTTTTTAAACAAAGCGTGACTATAATATTCCTAAGATGTGATAGTCTATGAATCCTGCTGAAATCTTCCATTCAGATAGTAGTAATATAGAAGATGCTTTTTATTGGTCAGCTCTCCTCATTTTCCCCTAATTCATTTACGCTGCTACATTAGAGTCGTTTCACCCGGCCGTCCTGCTAGCAGCTGGTGAAATGAATGTTTAGATTTATTTGTAAATAATGAGTATTAAATCATATTCATTTCTTTTCTATCGCACAGAAATGTTTAGTACATTGCAAAGTGGTCTCGCTGATCTTTGTTGATTATGGTCATGTTGTAAAGTTCCAAGGTCTTTTTTGTACAGCTTATGTTTCCTGATCACCTTCAGGTAATAAATACTGGTGTATTAAACATGTATGAAGGATATTTCTTATATGTTTGTGAGTTTGTTTAATCTTTTATCCACTGTATGAAGACAGATATGTTGGGCGACATGCATTAGGAATGACTCTATTAATGAAAGTCATAGGATTGGTTGTTTGGACATTCATAGGTGTTCCTCCCTCATGCGAGTGAGCGAGCGTCTGTCAGTGTCAGATGGAGCTGAGTGACCATGTGTTCACAGTGCAGAGCAGAGAAGAGCCTTGCATCAGGAAGATCAGCTTCCCCTGAACTCCACTGAATCCCGCTGAGAATTTCACAGGGATCAGAACGGCTGCGAGGGAAGTTCAAGAGTCAGAAAGCTGCTAAATGATGATTGCGAGCAGTTTGACGTGTCTTATGATACTCCTCTCCATTAATGATGTAAGTACATTTACATTTGACCATTAATTCTTATTCTTATCTTTGCTGCGGGTGTTGAACTTGCTCTTTGATGTATGATCAGCACCACGGACAGCGACAGGCAGTCAACTCAAATCCTTAAGGAAAACATACTGTCCTTGATTTCTATTGGAATTTGGAACCGGTCCTAATAGGATCAATTACGAATCCTGTAAGAATCAAATAAGATGTGGTCAAAGACTGAAACACAGTTTATGAGAGCTTTTGAAGGATGGATTAAATGGAGAATATGTGAACACTGGTATTTTTTTAATATCAAATGCTGAAATTGAACCTGGAATTTCTACAGTATTTTTTAGTTTTTAATTATACTGGACTGCCTTATTATTAAAGGAAATCACACTGGGAGCTCTAGGTGTAAAATAATTCCTTTGTAAATCACGTATTTCAGTAAATTACTCTAAATCATACTCTAAATTCCGTGACCATATATTTTGTGTTTTGGGTCTCTACAGTTAGAACTAGTTAGAACCTATTTGGAAGATTTGATTTTTATTAATAAATGTAACATTAATTGAAATAGTTGTTGAATTGTGTTATGGAATGTTTACGAAATTCCCATTAGGATCATCTAGAGCCAATTCTAAATTATAAAAGAAATTCCAAAAGGAATATTACATAAACATTCTTGATATTTTTGACCACCAAAAAAAAAAGTTTAAAGTGATTTTATGGTCTTAGCTGGTTTAAGATGGTTCACACTGATCTGTAGAAACCAGCTAAAACCAGCAAACCACCTTACTTTTCTTTAACTGAAAAGCCCTCCTATTTATATAATAATCATTAATGACGGATCTTGATTGCATTAACAGGTGCAAGTAGATGCAAATACATGCTGCTGCCTAGTTTCATTTCTGTCCGTGATACTTTAGTGGAGGAATTCTAATTTAATGGTTGGTTAAGAATATCATATGAAGGAACATACAGTATTGGTCATCAATGTTCAATTTGCTGTGATCAATAACTGTTCAAAAACGTCAGCAATTTTGCCAATCACGTTTTCAGATGAAAACATTTATTTATTTTTTTATTGAGAAAGTATGAACAAAGTAGTCTCATGTATTGTACTTCCAATTGCAATTTATCATTCATAGTGCTTTTAGAGTGTTCTCCAGTATTCATCAGACCAGCACTTCTCATCAGATAGTGTTAATATTGTAATATTCCAGCATGGTAAGCTGAAGAACCAGAAGTAGTATTTTGTTTTCGACTTGTGTCTCTCCAGTCGTGCCTCCTCCTCTCGCTGTATAAGATCCAGCTCACACCTCAGACTGAAGATCGATTTGTCTCTAATTGAAATAAAAGGCAACGTGGTGCTCGAGCCTCAAAAGGATCAATGCTTTTTGATATAAATATATAAGTGTGACTGTAAGTGTCTGACCCCTGGAGATAAAGATCCAATATACGAATTCTGTGAAAAGAGCTATTGAGTTGATATCATAAGTTTCGATTTTGGGGGGGTTTCTGTTTTTTTCACCTGGACATGTTCAATGGAACTGCCCCAGTGTTGCAGTAACTCTGCCTTCATCTGATTACGGCACTGTTTATGTTTTTACCCATGATCCATGGAGTTAAATCACGACTTACTGATTTATTCACTAATATTCTCAACACAATCATGGATTCTTCTTTAACTTTAGTCGGACGCTGGTTTCAGAGGTAGCATCTCCCTCTGGGAATGTTTCAGATGAGTTACAGTATGTCATGATATCATCCTTGCAGGTGAATTTCATTCCTCTTTTCACTGACTTGCTGACTGCACTGTACAGAGTGAAAAAATACAGGTCTTTCTACCTGATACAGTCCTTAGACATGCTTTCAAAGGTGTAGCATAAGCATATTATTTTATAAAAAGCATGTTTTTTAATAATTTATTTTTAAAAATTATTTATATATATATATATATATAATTGCATATCATTGCTCTCTTGTTGATTTTGATTGCTTCCATTGTCCTCATTTG